ACCATGCAACGCATTGTTCCCATATATACAACTCATTTATAAAGAATCTGAAATTGTTTAAAACACCAAGTCTTATGATTTATTAAGACAATCCTTCACAAAAATTATTGAGACTTGCATATTTATCTGTAAAATTAGCAAATTCTTACCCTCAGGAGCTCGTCCTTCCTCCCACCCCCCTCCCTCCCCCTTCAAAACAATGTTGAATGTTATTGCAAGCATTGTGCTACACAATTTCAACTCGATCACGAGCAACATTGCTCTGTAGGGGGGAGGGGAGAGGAAATTATACTTTCACATGGGTAATCTCATAATTTTTGTGAAGGATTGCTGTTTATATGCAAGATTATGTATAAATTCATTTGCTGACGTGACGCCGGCGTAATTTTTTTACAAGATTCCGCAGGCCCTCGCCAGATTGTGTGTGACCTTCCTATGACGCAACGAGGGCCTGCGGAGGAGGCGATTACGAGCAGAGGAAACGCGCGAAGTTCTGGATGGGAGTCATAGTATAGAATACAGTAAGACCCCGCGTATAAGAACCTAGATGTTTCAAATTAGCCTATATAAATAGGTTCTTATACAAATAGTGCTTATCGCGAAATTAGGCTAAATAGGTTCCTAATAGGTTCTTTTTTTCTAAAGAAAAAGCGGTTGGTGTAGATACAGTTATTTCATGTCTTCATATACAGACATGTTGTTTATTATGTTATGACATGTCCACTAAGATTCTGACTTCTGGGTCATTTCACATAAGAGTTTATTTTCTTTGATTTATAAATTTTTAGTTTCGACTCTTAGAGTGTAAAAATAAAATAAGAACCTGTTTGAAATTTTAGCCTAAACAAGTTCTTGTATAAAGGTAGAGGTGTGCATCGGATCGGATTGGACGTTTATAATCCAACAATTGGCTAATGTTTAAAATCCGATCCGATCCAAAATTGTGTAATCCGATCCGATCCGAGTTGTAATAAAGTATTCCGCGGATCCGATCCGAAGAATTCTTTAATTAATAAAATAAACTTTTCATTCATGTTGAAATGTTTAACCAAATCAATATAAAAACAAGAAATACATGTCAAGAAGCTGACAAAGTGACGTCCAATTGAAGTATCAAACGAAAAATGCAGCGACAACCGCGATAATGCTTTGATAAATACATGGATAATTAATTCTTGCAATAATACGTGGATAATTAATTCATTTTATTTCGAATATCGAAGTCCGATCCGATCCGACTGCGAAACAACTTTATCAATCCGATCCGATATGTATATTTTGTTCCGAAATCCGAACGAATCCGATCGGATCGGATTTGCACACCTCTAATTAAGGGGGTCTAAATAAGCATGCAATTTTAGCCTAACAGGTTCTTAAAATCTAGGTTCTTATACGCAGGGTCTTACTGCACACTAATTCAAGCACTAAGTAACGAGATGGATTCCGCGAAACAGCGTATTACGCAAAGTGTAGATATTTCCCGAGGAGGTCGGCCCGATCCTTGCTGCATTGGTAAATATAGTAACAAGTATAATAAGACGACAAACTGTATCTGTTTTAGCGTTTGCTTTACGCTTTATTTATTTTATGAAATATGAATTACAAACAACTAATGATAGGTTCAATGGCGTAGCCAGAACGATAATAGACCTTTTCCCTTTTGAGTGAAATTTTGATCAAGACAAGTCTAGACAAAAATTTCATCACAGCTTGAAAGAGCATCACAAAATTAGTAATATTCCGAAGTTTCGTTGCGAAATGTTGTAAAATGCGGATAATATAGCCTTGCGAAGTTTGCCATTTTTCGGTCATTTTGTATTACAAATGGAAATTGATAATCAGTTTGATCATCTGATTATCAATTTCCCGTTTGTAATGCAAACTGACTGAAAAACGGCAAACTTCGCAAGGCTATATTATCCGCATTTTACAACATTTCGCAACGAAGCTTTGGAATATTACTAATTTTGTGATGCTCTTTCAAGCTGTGATGAAATTTTTGTCTAGACTTGTCTTGAT